CACTGTGTGCACTTGGGCATCTCTTAACTCTCTGAGGCGCAGTTTCCTCATCTGTAAAATAGGGATCATCATACCAGGCACGGCTATTAGAGGCTATTAGAAGCCCTATCACGGCTGCAAAGCTCAGATGAGCCCAGTCCCTGGCTTGGAGACAGTCATGAAGAGATGGTGGCTGTGGCTCTTTCCCTTACTTGCCTAACCCCAGCCTTGGGATCTGCTCCACCTTAGGCAAGAGTGAAGGAAAGGGAGAGTCCGGCTCTATTTAGAAGCTGCTGTTCCAGTGCCTTGTGGACTGCAGGAGTGGATGATGAATATGTAAACTGCAAAGCAGACAGGAAAGCCCCTCTGGCAGCTTTCAGGGAGCTTCAGAAGCCGCCTGGGTGCTGCTCATACGTGACTTGGTTTGGGGAAACTTTCCAGCGTGTAGACCCTACCGGGTCTGAGGCAGGACTCACCCAGGAGATCAGGTGCACGGGTTATGGGCAGCACGGGTTATGGGCAGCACGGGTCATGGGCAGCATGGGGAAGGCAGTGTCCACCGGCTGGTGCCAGGCCCTGGGCAGGTGCTTCAGAGATGGGACAAGCACCCTCACCGTCCGAAAGCACTTGGCTCCCGAGGTCTGATGGCAGCGAGAGTGGACAGCAGATAGCGAGGGCTGCCTGCATTCTTTCATCCTCACCATCCGCCTGCGAGGCAGGGGCTGGAAGCTCCCATTTACTAATGAGGAAAGCAAGGCTCAGAGAGGGGAAGAGACCTGCCCAAGGTCGCACAGTTAATAAGTGCAGGGATTTGAGCCCAGAACCGGCTGACTCCTGTACTGTGTTACAGATGAGATACCAGGGTGTGTGTGTGCGCATGTGTGTGTGGTGGGAGGAGACCCATTTTCCCTGGGTCACCAGCCCGAGACTGGAATCTTAGTTTCTCAACCCAGTGCTATTTCCAACTCTGCGCCAGGAAGCAAATCTTATCCTCACGCCTTTCCTCCGTGGCTCCTTCAGCCGGGAATGCCCACCCTTTCATCTCTTTGGTGGGCAAGCTCGAGCTCTCCTTTGCAGTCACTGGCAGTATCAGGGCTTTGGCAGGCCCTCCCTGCACGTGCTAGGCAGGCTGAGTGCCCTCCCTGGACTGCACAGCCCTGGCACCCTTCGGTGATGGAATCCACCTGAAGTCAGCTCTCTGTCTGTTCCACACTAAGGGATATGTTCTTCGACGACATCCATCTGCCCACCCACCTGTATACTCCTCAGTCCATCTATTCATCCATCTGTCTATCAATCAACCTGTCTGTCCTTCCACAGATCCATTCACCGAATATTTACTGGGTGTCTACTGCGTGCCGGGCACTCAGAATAGTGAATCCAAATCTCCACTCTCTGAGAGCTTATATATTCCTAGCGCCTGGCAGATTAATGTAAATATGAATAACAGCCACCATTCGAAAAATACAGATGAGCACCATGAGTCTCAGAGAGGTTAAGAAACCTATCTAAGGTCACATAGTAAGCGGTCGAGCTCTGGTCTAAACCTAGGTCTGTCTGATGCAAAAGCCATCCAGTTGCCTCCCTTTCCATCCATCCATGTGTTCTGCACTACCTGGATCCTCCAGGGACTTCCCTTGGCCATTGCTAATGGGAGCTACAGGGCCGCCAGGGAGGTTCTGCCCCGGGCAGCAGCACCTCACCTTCTGCTGCCGGATGGCCCTGTTGATCCTCTTCTCCTGGCACAGCTGCTGCTCCATGCGTTCCAGGGCCTCCTTCAGCAGGGCCTTTTCTTCGGCCTCTTTGTAGATATCATCCTCCAGCTTTGCCACCTGCGACTGGTACATCTCAACGGACACTTTGCTCCGCCTAGGTGCACAGGAGAGATGGCGTCTCTTTTTCCCTTATCTTTCCCAATCACCATCAATGTGCCAGAGCTGGAAGTCTCTCAAAATACATCCAGGTGGGGCTCACTCATGAGTGTCACGCAAGCAGGAGAGCATGTCGAAGATTTGGGGCATGGAGAGCGGAACGAGCCGCTCGTCAGCCGAGTGTGTAGCGGGAGGGGATAAAGGAGGTGCTACCAGCCCCTCCCGACTTCCCGGGGAGCGGGGAACTGTGACTCTTGAAAATATGACAGAGCTGTCAATGCCACACAAGTGGGAAACCGTAAGTCGAGGGTTGCGAGAGGTGCAGCTTGCACAGAAAATAGTCCACAGAATGGAGAAACCATGCACTTCTGCAGCCGCCATCTCAAGGACAGAATTCCCTCTACCAGGCCTAGTCAGTGCCCTTCCTGTTACCTTTCTGACATTTTAGGTATTCCACACTCGGGTCTCTGTCCTCCTGTCCCAGGCCTAGGTGTCTGCTGCTAGCCTGAGTTTAGCCAGGAGAAGGGAGGCACGGGCCTTTATGTGGGGTTGTGGGGGTGCCGAGGTACCTGAGCTGTTCAACGTCCTTTTCGTATCCTCTCAACAGCTCCTCTTTCCTCTCCAGTTGGTTCTTGAGCTGGGTGATCTTATCAAATACCAGGTCGAGGTCCCTTTGTCGAAGCTGGTTGACCTTGTCCCTCTCCTGGCGGGAGAGGTATTTCATGGACACGTGGCCGGACATGTCCTTGATGTTCATCAGACTTCCAAGGGTTTTGCTCATATCCAGATACTACAAGGAAAACGTTTGTGTATAAGAGGCATTACTGGAGGCCGCTGGTGGCCGCTTTAAGGAGGCCAATGTCTAATTCTGTTTCATTCACTTTCTGCAATTGCAGAGAACACACACACGCTTTGAAAGGAGTGCAACTGGGGCTTTCAGCATGACTTTCATTTCTCCCACATCCATTTACGCTATGCCTTTTTTGAGAACCGGGGGTGAAAAATGACAACAGATATAAACACTTCATTCTAACTACCCAGTTTTTCAAGGAATTTGGCTATGTGATTCCTGACCCATGCTGGGATAGTAGGTAGGTCTTGCAGAGTTATTAGAACAACTAAACAGGCATGTGAGGTTGACATTTAAACTATCCCGTGGTTAACACTGACTGCAGGGGACCCAGGCTTTGGATAGCAGTGGGTTGGATGCTGGATGTACGTACCAGCTTTTCACTGAGCTCTAAAGCCTCAGCCACATCCATCTTCCCTGACTTCTCCATGGCTGAGCTGAACCTTGCGTTGCAAAGGCCATTCTGAGGCTGAAATCAGAAAGAAATGAAAGCGCTCTCTTGACATTCCATTGTGACCTTCTATGACCGGAAGCTAAAGCACTGTGTGATTGCCGGAGATTAACTCAACAGAGTTGATTTTCAGTCCGGTCCTGATCATTCCGTCTGATTCCTTTGTCAACTGCTTTCTTATAGTTGTATTCCTACCCTTCAGAAAGCGACTCTGTCTTTGAAGTCTCTGTAATTATACATCACTTGTCTTGTTCTTTGATCACCGCCTGTCTTCCCTCTACAACAGTGGTTCTCAATTGGGGTGGTTTTGTCCCCTCCCCTGGGCCATTTGGCAGTGTTTGGACACATTTTTGATTGTCACAACTGCAGGCGGGGAGTGCTGCCAGCATCTAGGGGGTAGAGAGCAAAGATGCTACTAGACATCCACACGTCCCCCCACAAACCGCGCCAGACTGTGGGGTCCTAAAATATCAACAGTGCTGAGGGTCGAGGTCCCTTTGTCGAAGCTGGTTGACCTTGTCCCTCTCCTGGCGGGAGAGGTATTTCATGGACACGTGGCCGGACATGTCCTTGATGTTCATCAGACTTCCAAGGGTTTTGCTCATATCCAGATACTACAAGGAAAACGTTTGTGTATAAGAGGCATTACCGGAGGCCGCTGGTGGACGCTTTAAGGAGGCCAATGTCTAATTCTGTTTCATTCACTTTCTGCAATTGCAGAGAACACACACACGCTTTGAAAGGAGTGCAACTGGGGCTTTCAGCATGACTTTCATTTCTCCCACATCCATTTACGCTATGCCTTTTTTGAGAACCGGGGGTGAAAAATGACAACAGATATAAACACTTCATTCTAACTACCCAGTTTTTCAAGGAATTTGGCTATGCGATTCCTGACCCATGCTGGGATAGTAGGTAGGTCTTGCAGAGTTATTAGAACAACTAAACAGGCATGTGAGGTTGACATTTAAACTATCCCGTGGTTAACACTGACTGCAGGGGACCCAGGCTTTGGATAGCAGTGGGTTGGATGCTGGATGTACGTACCAGCTTTTCACTGAGCTCTAAAGCCTCAGCCACATCCATCTTCTCAACCCAGTGCTATTTCCAACTCTGCGCCAGGAAGCAAATCTTATCCTCACGCCTTTCCTCCGTGGCTCCTTCAGCCGGGAATGCCCACCCTTTCATCTCTTTGGTGGGCAAGCTCGAGCTCTCCTTCGCAGTCACTGGCAGTATCAGGGCTTTGGCAGGCCCTCCCTGCACGTGCTAGGCAGGCTGAGTGCCCTCCCTGGACTGCACAGCCCTGGCACCCTTCGGTGATGGAATCCACCTGAAGTCAGCTCTCTGTCTGTTCCACACTAAGGGATATGTTCTTCGACGACATCCATCTGCCCACCCACCTGTATACTCCTCAGTCCATCTATTCATCCATCTGTCTATCAATCAACCTGTCTGTCCTTCCACAGATCCATTCACCGAATATTTACTGGGTGTCTACTGCGTGCCGGGCACTCAGAATAGTGAATCCAAATCTCCACTCTCTGAGAGCTTATATATTCCTAGCGCCTGGCAGATTAATGTAAATATGAATAACAGCCACCATTCGAAAAATACAGATGAGCACCATGAGTCTCAGAGAGGTTAAGAAACCTATCTAAGGTCACATAGTAAGCGGTCGAGCTCTGGTCTAAACCTAGGTCTGTCTGATGCAAAAGCCATCCAGTTGCCTCCCTTTCCATCCATCCATGTGTTCTGCACTACCTGGATCCTCCAGGGACTTCCCTTGGCCATTGCTAATGGGAGCTACAGGGCCGCCAGGGAGGTTCTGCCCCGGGCAGCAGCACCTCACCTTCTGCTGCCGGATGGCCCTGTTGATCCTCTTCTCCTGGCACAGCTGCTGCTCCATGCGTTCCAGGGCCTCCTTCAGCAGGGCCTTTTCTTCGGCCTCTTTGTAGATATCATCCTCCAGCTTTGCCACCTGCGACTGGTACATCTCAACGGACACTTTGCTCCGCCTAGGTGCACAGGAGAGATGGCGTCTCTTTTTCCCTTATCTTTCCCAATCACCATCAATGTGCCAGAGCTGGAAGTCTCTCAAAATACATCCAGGTGGGGCTCACTCATGAGTGTCACGCAAGCAGGAGAGCATGTCGAAGATTTGGGGCATGGAGAGCGGAACGAGCCGCTCGTCAGCCGAGTGTGTAGCGGGAGGGGATAAAGGAGGTGCTACCAGCCCCTCCCGACTTCCCGGGGAGCGGGGAACTGTGACTCTTGAAAATATGACAGAGCTGTCAATGCCACACAAGTGGGAAACCGTAAGTCGAGGGTTGCGAGAGGTGCAGCTTGCACAGAAAATAGTCCACAGAATGGAGAAACCATGCACTTCTGCAGCCGCCATCTCAAGGACAGAATTCCCTCTACCAGGCCTAGTCAGTGCCCTTCCTGTTACCTTTCTGACATTTTAGGTATTCCACACTCGGGTCTCTGTCCTCCTGTCCCAGGCCTAGGTGTCTGCTGCTAGCCTGAGTTTAGCCAGGAGAAGGGAGGCACGGGCCTTTATGTGGGGTTGTGGGGGTGCCGAGGTACCTGAGCTGTTCAACGTCCTTTTCGTATCCTCTCAACAGCTCCTCTTTCCTCTCCAGTTGGTTCTTGAGCTGGGTGATCTTATCAAATACCAGGTCGAGGTCCCTTTGTCGAAGCTGGTTGACCTTGTCCCTCTCCTGGCGGGAGAGGTATTTCATGGACACGTGGCCGGACATGTCCTTGATGTTCATCAGACTTCCAAGGGTTTTGCTCATATCCAGATACTACAAGGAAAACGTTTGTGTATAAGAGGCATTACTGGAGGCCGCTGGTGGCCGCTTTAAGGAGGCCAATGTCTAATTCTGTTTCATTCACTTTCTGCAATTGCAGAGAACACACACACGCTTTGAAAGGAGTGCAACTGGGGCTTTCAGCATGACTTTCATTTCTCCCACATCCATTTACGCTATGCCTTTTTTGAGAACCGGGGGTGAAAAATGACAACAGATATAAACACTTCATTCTAACTACCCAGTTTTTCAAGGAATTTGGCTATGTGATTCCTGACCCATGCTGGGATAGTAGGTAGGTCTTGCAGAGTTATTAGAACAACTAAACAGGCATGTGAGGTTGACATTTAAACTATCCCGTGGTTAACACTGACTGCAGGGGACCCAGGCTTTGGATAGCAGTGGGTTGGATGCTGGATGTACGTACCAGCTTTTCACTGAGCTCTAAAGCCTCAGCCACATCCATCTTCCCTGACTTCTCCATGGCTGAGCTGAACCTTGCGTTGCAAAGGCCATTCTGAGGCTGAAATCAGAAAGAAATGAAAGCGCTCTCTTGACATTCCATTGTGACCTTCTATGACCGGAAGCTAAAGCACTGTGTGATTGCCGGAGATTAACTCAACAGAGTTGATTTTCAGTCCGGTCCTGATCATTCCGTCTGATTCCTTTGTCAACTGCTTTCTTATAGTTGTATTCCTACCCTTCAGAAAGCGACTCTGTCTTTGAAGTCTCTGTAATTATACATCACTTGTCTTGTTCTTTGATCACCGCCTGTCTTCCCTCTACAACAGTGGTTCTCAATTGGGGTGGTTTTGTCCCCTCCCCTGGGCCATTTGGCAGTGTTTGAACACATTTTTGATTGTCACAACTGCAGGCGGGGAGTGCTGCCAGCATCTAGGGGGTAGAGAGCAAAGATGCTACTAGACATCCACACGTCCCCCCACAAACCGCGCCAGACTGTGGGGTCCTAAAATATCAACAGTGCTGAGGCCTGGAAACCCTGGTCCAGATGAGAGTGCCATAGCAGCAGGGACTGGGTTGCTGTTTGCTCACTCTCCCCCTCCTTGTGCCCAGCATGGCGCCTGGCAGAGTGGGCATGTTTGTTGAATGAATGAATGCAGGTTAAACAGAAAATACCCCCCATCCTTTTATTAAAGGAGTGTCATTTTCATGCAGTGGAAACTGGACCCTCACTTCTGACGCTTTCCAGAGATGATGCAGATGGTGGGTGAGCATCACTTTAGACCCTTTCCAGAGAGGAGACAGCTGTGCACCTGCTAAGACCCTGCTCAGCCAGCTGCTTGCTGAAAGCCCCAGCCAAAGGCATAGAAAAGCCACCAGGCCAAGCGGGGAGTCTGGAGGCCATGGACAACCCCCATACATCCCCTCACAACTAAATTGGGTTGTCAGTGCTCGCCACGGACACCAAGATCATGTCAGCTCACAGCATTTACTGGCTCTACATTGTAAACTTGGGAGATTTAAAAAAAAACAAACATAAAAACCCCAAAAAACCCATTCACAAAAATATAAAAGCCTAAAAGTGACTGTGATAGGTGTGACATATTTGTCTATATTAAGAGTGGACATATTTATCTATGAGATGAGAATAAAGCAGGTATTTAAAGACGACAATAAATTGGGCAGACTTGCTACAAAAAGAACCTAAAATGCAGCTTGGTGTCTCCAGCTCCCTGAGCCGCGTCCTCTGCACTCCCCTTCAGAATCCCCTCTCTTTTCCTGCAGGTTGCAGGAGTCCGGAGGGAGGGTGGCCTAAGGAAGAGTCCAGGCTGCAGGTTCGATCACACCATTCCCACCTCCTTCTCTGCAGACCAGCAGGCTACAAGAGGCAGACCTCTAGGGACACAGTCCTGGCTCTGTCATTCATTATTTTTGTGTCCTTCGGTGAGGTGCTTGACCTTCTGAAGCCTTAATTTTTCTTTTTCTTTCTTTTCTTTTTTTTTTCACGGAGTTTCACTCTCTTGCCCAGGCTGGAGTGCAGTGGTGTGATGTTGGTTCACTGCAATCTCCGCCTCCCAGGTTCAAGTGATTCTCGTGCCTCAGCACGGATGTGTACCACCATGCCTGGCTAAGTTTTATATTTTTAGCAGAGACAGGGTTTTGCCACATTGGCCAGGCTGGTCTCGAACTTCTGGCCTCAAGTGATCTGCCTGCCTCGGCCTCCCAAAGTGTTGGGATTACAGGTGTTAGCCACCGTGCCTGGCCCGAAGTCTTAATTTTTCTCATCTGTAAAATGGGGATAACAATGGTAACTGACGTGGGCTGCTGTGTGGATTAAATGAGATAACACATGTGAAGGGCTTTGCTCAATGCCTGGTACACAGTAAGCACTCAGTAAACGCCAGCTATTCTTCTTTCTGCTCCTTCTCTTCTTTTTTCTTTTCCTTTTTTGAGACAGGGTCTCACTGTCACCCAGGCCAGAGTACAGTGGTGTGATCTTGGCTCACTGCAGCCTC